TACAGGAGGATGCTTATGTTTTATGGCTGATAAAAGCTTCAGTGTGTAGGATTGGACACTTTGAGTTGAAGGATGGATAAATGGAGAGGCTCTGACTGTTGAGTCTGGTTATTGATTTTTATCACTGAGCTTCCAGCAAACTGGTCATGGCGTGGTTCTCTGCAGGGCAGAGAGGGGAGATTTCTTAGAGAGATGACTGACTCCTCAAAGAAAAAGTTCTTTTGAAATATTTTTTGGGGGAAAATTGTAATCACAGAGGGTGGGCAACATAACAAGATTACAATGTAATGCAGTTACAGTTAATAGAATCACACTGGAATCCATCTTGACTTATGAAGCTTGTAGTCATTTGGTCATTTGAATTTTGTCAAGACGTTCAGCATTAATCCACTGCAACAGAACAGTGCTTCTCTGAAATAGTCTTAACAAAAATCACCATGGTGGTTTGTTGGATTGTACTGGACTGGAAGGTGTCACTGTTACCGTATTGTTTTATCCCACCTTGAACATTGAGTATCAGTACAAACCACAATGGGTAAGTTTTCTGAAATGAGTCAAGAGAGCAAACATGAGCTTCTAAGTTTCCTCACAAAGAAGAATCAAAAGAAAACAAACACATATTGACTATCATCCCCTGCTATATACAAATATTCCTCTCCATTTTGGACAGTTTCCGCCAAACCACATAAATGTATCATCTGAAGTTTTGGGAATATAAGTGTTAGACCTTGTTAATCTATTTCCTGGTAATACTATGCTTTGACTTTATCTCCCAGCCCAAGGGGATACAATGCTAACTGACAGCTAGCATTATTGCATCCATGCAGTCCTCATTTGCTGCAGTGATGCAGTAATGAGTGTAACAAGACTGGTGTGGCTTCTTTACAAAGTCCACATGAAGTCAGCGTCTGAAAACAAGCCAAAAGGGAAAAGAAGACAAAACCAAAAAAAAACAACTGATTATCTTATGAAAGATGTAAACAACTGAGGGTCCATCTCAAGTCTTGCACAGATGGAAAAAAATGCTCTTCCTCATGCATGTTTCTCCTCAACTACTGTAAATCCAAAACTGCAATTTCATTATTAGTTTTGAATTGAATGACTTGATATTTTTCACAAAATCAGTGTGAGTATGAAAACCAGGGGCCATACTCACAAAGCTTCCTTGTACAAAGAGTTGCTCCTAGTGACGAAATTCAAAGATTTTTTTTTTTTTTTTTTTTTTTTTTAGAATTATGACGTTTTCTAAGAATTCCCCCTTAAAGTTAAGACTAGATCCGGGCAAAGATAAAAAAGTTATTCACAGAGCGTCTTAGCCCTAAAGAGAGCTTCTGAGGTAAAAAACTGTTAAGAGTAGGGAGGAGGGACTATTGAGGTATTAAGGTGCTACAAATGCTGAATGAGAGTAAGTAAATGAAACTCTGCAGAGTCGATCATGCAGGAATATTTGTGGTTGATCTCTTTAGGGATAATCACACATTGCCTACCAAACGAAATAACGCTATAATGGCAGAAACATTATTTTTTTCCACTGTAAAAAGTTGTGGATGGTATCAATGGAACCGTTCCGTACCGTCCCCATTTTTGGTCCCCCCTCTGTTGGGGTACCTAGCACACAGATCTGGTACTAAAACATGGAGCTGTGAACACTGCAGTCTGTTGATTGGTCAATAGCTGACAGTCACTCTGCTCAGGGCTGAGCTGACGCTGGTTTTGAGGCTCATGTAACCAGTGTTGATACCGTGGAGAGTTTTATTAATATACAGTAACTATTAAATGAAAGGATGTTTTGCTGTCTCTTGCAGCAGCTGGAGTCGAAGAAAACAATAACCTAATTCACTGGGCCGACTGCCGGTGACTTTTAAGGTGGAACATTTACTTGTAACGTTACTCAATGTATGTGTTGACAACGTGAAACCACCACCACGCCTAAAATTTCAGTGTGACTTTGACCATTGAGTGGATCTTCACGTGTTTATATATTTATATATCAATTTCAACCAGGTCATGTGAAAGCCTCAAAAAGAAAAAAAGAAAAAAGTGTTGTGGAGCGTTGTTCCTGTGGGCTAAGGCAACACTAAACCCCTGAGCTTGCCTGAGAAGGACTAAATGCACAAACCTTCTATTTTTAAATATCCCATTGAGATGGACTCTCACTGCAGCCTGTTTTATTTTGCTCAGAAAATGTTGGCATGCAGCCTTGTTCTGTGGATGATAAACGAGGTGCAGACTAATAAAGGAGGAAATACAGTGAGCGCTGGACGGAGCAGTGAGTGACAATAACCCCGCCCACATTTAAGGGTACTGTTTGCAGTGGAAACAGACTTTTGCTTCCAAAGGTACCATACCAAAAGTGTTGGGTGAAAAAGGGGCTTAAGACATTTGGAAAACTATAAAACAGCAACAGTGCAGCTTCAAAGACTTTGGTTTGTCTCAACATTCCAACAGCAAAGTGATCACATGAAATTGACAACACTTTCAGCCTCATATTGTGACTCATAACATTTCATTTCCACTGGGTGTCCACACCTTTCAGGTTCACAAAGGGTGTGTCTGTGACAACCAATCACACCTGATAAAAGAATGCATCACACCTAGCAACAGGGTCACACCTTCTCACTAAGGTAAAAGTTTCTGTCCCTTCCTTGCTCAGAGTTACTCTGAGAACTTTCCTAAATCACTCCTAGTCTTGGACTCCTCACTGTATTTTTAAAGCTAAGTTAGGAGCTCTCCGAGAGGGTTCTCAGAAAGTCTGTGAATATGGCACCAGATACTGAGTCTGATCTTGGAGTGCATTGTAATGGTATATTTCCTGTTAAATGTGTTTACAGCTAATTTCTACTCATAGAAACACAGCTGATCTGGGGCTCATCTCATGCTAAAGGGTCAGTCCACCTACATAAGAAAAAAAAAACAAAAAACAAACATATTGTCCCTCTCACCTCAAGGATATCCAACTACGCAGTTAGGATTTTATTTGCACAAGCTTTGATTATCTGCCACCCAGATACAAAAGAGGTGAAGGGAATCTATTAGTGCTCAAAGTGAGGAAAGGTCAAATCAATAGCAACACTGTTTTTCAGAAACAGTATTCAGACCTGAATGTTAACAATCGATGTAACGTTCCATAGAAAAGAAAAATGAAGGCTACATTTCCTGGGCTACATTTGAAATCCAATGGGTGAGAATGACTCTGCTGAAGTTTTGTAAAGTCATGCTGACTCGTGCCTGAGCTGCTCCATCAAGAATGAAGAGAGTGAGCTTATCTTTATTATATTAGACTCCATTTTATCAATCAGTGACTTTGTATTTTCTAAATAAGATTAGTCCAAAGACAGTCATGCTTTGAACTTGATATTCTGTAAAGATAGGGTGAAAAAAGACAGTAAAATGGTGGTTTGATCATAAACATGAACACAAGACTACAGGTGCTATGTCTCCCCCTATGTGTCAGATATTGCATTACAGTGCAATTAGGGGTTAGACATACAGTGGTGGAAAAAAGTTTTCGGACACCCTTAAAATTTTACACAATCTCAAATATTATCATGAAATATTTGTGGAAAAATCTTTTTTGTGTTTCAAAAGGTGTGGCTGCATTAGACAGATACAAACAAATACAAATTATATTTTTTTGTTTATTGTTTACAAGAAAAACTAACAAAACTAAATTCTTGACAGTTTCAATATGTCAGTTCTCAACATTGTCGGTATCAAAGTCAACAAATAACAGAGAATGTGTTCAAAACTGAACAAAAAATAAACCATCACATCATCAAATTAATATTTAGTAGTCCTGCCATTGGCACGTAGTAGAGCTCTAATCCTGGCTGGCATGTTCCCCACGAGCCTTTCACACTGTTGAGGGGTAATCTTGTCCCATTCTTCTTGAATTGCTGCTTTTAATTCTTCTAAATTCTTTGGTTTATGCTTTGAAACAGACCTTTTGATAATCCACCACAGATTTTCAATGGGGCTCATGTTCGGGGATTGAGCTGGCCACTCTAAGACCTGGATACTGTGCTCCTGCAGCAAAGTTCTACTGGCCTTGGATGTGTGGCAAGGGGCATTATCTTGTTGTCCTGGCTATCCAGTTCCTGTGTGCCTGGGCCCAACCACGCTGGGCTAACCTCTGTCTCTCATTGATCAGGGGCTTCTTGATAGCCTTGTAGGACCTTAAGCCATGATCTAAAAGTCAGCCACGTACAGTGCGGGTGGAACACTGGACACCAGTTTGGTTTGACCACTGCTGCTGAAGCTCCTGTGATGTCATTCGGCGGTTTTGCCTGCACATGCGGATCAGGATGCGGTCATTTCTTGTTGAGGAAACCCTTGGATGCCCAGATCTTGGTTTGTCTTCCAAGCTGTTGGTTCGTCTGTATTTCTGCAGAGTGTATCCAACTGCTGAAAGACTGCATCTGCACTTCCTGGCTATCTGGCGGCAGCTGTACCCTTCCTGGCTGAGAATCTTTATCTTCAGGCGTGTTTCCTGCGTTAGGTTCCTTGTTTTAGCCATTTTTGTGTCTGAAGAACTTTCAAATGTGCTGGCTTTATGTAGACACAAAGCTTGGCAACAAAAATTGTGTCTTTTAATAAAAAGAACGACCTTCATCACTGGTACCAAAATGACCCAATACTCAAAATTTCTTATGTATTTTTATGGAACTAATCAATTTTAAGTTTTTAATGGCTTTTTTAGGATTTATTTAGTATTTTGGCTGTGACTGTACTAAAAGAAATTGCACTTGAAGACCTAAGAGTGATTCTTAATGCAATATTTCACAAATGCATGGGGTGTCCGAAAACTTTTTTCCACTACTGTAGATTTAAGAAAAGCTTGTAAGCATGTTACTAATGATTTGATGAGATCGCTTGTGCTGGGTTAACCTGAAACTAGTGACATAACAACTACTGGTTGCAGCAAAAAAAAAAAAGAAAAAAAAAAAGTTAAGGACAGCATGATTACTGTCAGAGGAACAAAAAAAAATATCACAAAACACTGAGTTTGCAAAATACCACAGGCACTTAAACTTTAATAAATATTAAACATTAAGTTCTTTTTCATATGTACAGATATTGTACAGAAAGATCCGTAGATGCTTTTGCAGCTGCTGCACGTCAGAGTGTACCAAAAATAACATTTTTTAGGAAAGAAAACAAACTGGCCATCAAAGCTTCTATTTGGATAGTTAATACAAACAGGTTTTTTTATCCTATTGTTATATTTTATATATGTACTTCTTGTACATAAAAGAATGCCAAGGGACATTGCTTTTAGCAACACTTACAAAAAAAGCACCATACTTGACTGACCGTTAAAAAAGAAAAACAAAAATGCAATCAATATTTTTTTTCTCTTCACTTATTTTGTTTTTCCACCTAGCTTAATGAGATATCAAAATATATTATCAAAATTCAGGAAGCACCACATGTTTGGCAATGTCCCTCAACATTACTGTAACTTAACTTCCTGAGAGATGAGAGACCCTTTGCAGTCAGACAGACGTTTGCTTGGGAAAAGGCAACACAATTCAAGCAGTGTAAACTTTATACAATTCAATTAAACCATAACAGAACTTTGACTTTCTGATTGTATTGCATTACCATATCACTTCCAGGCCTCCAAAAGCTCCAATTTGCCGTGTGTATGGTATTCAGAGTGCTGGCCACTTAACAAGGAGACATTTTCATCCTGTCCTACAGAAGCTGTGTTATCTGTTTGTGGGGAAATGAGCTGCAGTCCTTAGCTGTGATGTAATACGGAAATGGAGATTTGGATTTTAGGTCGGAGATTTCGTTGCTCAATAAGTGCCAGTAGGAATAATACCATTTTACAAACAACATTATACCTTATCTACATCACCATTGAATCCACAAACAAGACTGTGGGTGGTTTGGGGGGATAGAAGCTTGGATTTGTAAAGTGCTGGTCAAACTGGCAAACTGGATGGACACTTTTTATCCCTTCTGTTTCTCATTATTGTATTTACACAGGCGAGGCGATTTGCTTCAAATCTGCAACAGTCTGTACTCTAAAGAGCTTTTCTTTATTCAAAGCAACTGTTCAAACATTTGGCCACAGTATTTTCTCTCTGCAACAGTCCTGATTGTCATGCGAGTGATATGACACAGAGAGTTTTTTTGTGCGGAAAGGCCTGACGGAAAGCACCATGGCAGTTCAGAGGGAGTTACACAGGGCATCTCTATAAGAGAAATGAAAAGGCTTGGTCTATCATGCTGCGTGGCCTCTCTTCATCCTGAGGAGAAAGTTCCTCTTTTCCTCCAGAAGCTCCTGAATGCGTTTGTTCTTGGTCCTCTCTCGGAGGTTGACCCGTCGCTTTGGGATGAGATTGTTCTGGGAGATGTCGTTGTCCACGCCGATGATCCTGTTGTATATGCCATCGATCGAGTTGTCCTCACTGTTCTCCTCTGGTCTTTGCTGAGGTCGGGTGACAGTTGTGATGGCTGTTTTTGTTGTTGTCGGAGTGATAGTGGTGGGAGGTGAGAGTGTGGCAGGGTCTGAGGTTGTGGTGGGAACAGGGATGCTCACAGGAATGTATTCAGACAGGTCCTGCCAGGGCGAGGAAGCGAGGTCCATCATATCCTCATTGTCGATGGTTGGGATCACCATGGTGAAGCCGTCGTCTAGCACCATGGTGTCACTGACCACTCTCCCGTTGCTGTAGGACACTGTGATGTCATCGCCACTGGGAATGGTCCCACTGGTCACTGTGATATCACCACTGCTTGTCATTGTGACATCACTATATGGCACCGTCCCACTAGGCATGCTGACTTCTTCAAAGTTAGCGGTTCCAGCTGGTGTTACAACATCAACAAAAGTGCTGGGTGTTATGGCTGAAGCATCCTGATACCACAGTGGAGGTTCATCTGAAGTTGCTGTGTTGTTATTGATGTACGTAACATTGATTCTGGACTCAGGGAAAGGCCCGCCTGCAGCTGTTGCATATACACTAGTGCTGGATGTGATAGTGGAAGAGAAGTACTCTCTCAGTTGATCGGGTCTTGTATATGGAGTGGGAGCTGTGGTATAATATGAGGGAACTGTTTTAACTGTTTTCTTTTTTGGATTAGTCTTAGCCTTGTTCTGATCGACCTTGGCCTGAGAATGTGTGGCATTTTTGGTACCTGGTTTTGGGATCTTTTGAACTTTTATTTGCACTTTCTTTGTAACTTTTGTCTTTGGTTGAATGTTCTTTTTGGGATTGGCCTTTGGGGGAGACTCCTTTTTGGGCGTGGGTTTGGTTTTTTTCTCAGGAGTAGCCTTCACCGGAGGTGTCTTTTTGAGAGTGGTCTTAACAAGGGGAGTCTTTTTGGGAGTAGTTTTTGCCAGAGTAGTCTTTTTGGGAGTAGTCTTTTGTGGGGTAGTCTTTTTCGGAGTAGTCTTTGGTAGGGTAGTCTTTTTGGGAGTTGTTTTTGGTGTTGTAGTCTTTTTGGGAGTAGTCTTTTGTGTGGTATTCTTTTTGGGAGTAATCTTTAGTGGGGTAATCTTTTTGGGTGTTGTTTTTTCAGGGGTTTTCTGTTTTGGATTAGCATCTGTCTTCTTTTTAGGATTGATCTTTGGTAGAACATCTTTTCTGGTAGTATTTTTAAGTGCAGTATTCTTTTTAGGATTGATCTTTGGTGGAATCACCTTTTTGGGGTTTTTCTTTGGTGGAATATCTTTGGGCTTTGATTGTAATAGGGTGTCTATTTTTGTACTGCTTAATATTGGATTAGTCATAGTTGGGCTGGTTGTTTCTGGGGAGTGTGTGGTAGGTATCATGCCAGATGTTGTTGGACTATTGGTAGTGCTCTCTAACTGTGGGTCCGTGTTCTCATCTAGGGGATGAGCAGTAACACTGGTAGAAGTTAGAATAACTGAGGCAGTTGTTTTGGAAAAGGTAGTGGGGAGGACGGGAGTGCTGGTGGCAGCTGTAGCATGAGTGGTAAACATTTGTGTGGCACTGGGTGGGGATGGGGTTGAGTGGGAAACAGCAGTGGTAGAGGCAGGAGGATGAGTGGTGGTAATTTGTGTCGTAGTTAGTGGGGAAGAAGTGGAATGAGGAACAGCAGTGGTAGAGGCAGGCAAATTAGTGGTGGTCATTTGCTTTGTACTTAGTAAGGAAGAGGTGGAATAAGGAACAGCAGCGGTAGAGGCAGGAGGATGGGTGGTGGTCATTTGTGTTGTACTAAATAAGGAAGAGGTAGAATAAGGAACAGCAGTGGTAGAGGCAGGAGAATGGGTGGTGGTCATTTGTGTCGTAATAAATAAGAAAGAGGTGGAATGAGGAACAGCAGTGGTAGAAGTAGGAGTACCCTTTGTTTTCTTCTCAGGATTGATCTTTGGTGGAACAAATTTTCTGGTAGTGTTTTTTGGTGTAGTATTGTTTTTAGGATTAATTTTTGGTGAAATATCTTTTCTGGTAGTATTTTTTAGGGCAGTATTCTTTTTAGGATTGATCTTTGGTGGAATATCTTTTCTGGTCGTATTTTTTAGGGCAGTATTCTTTTTAGGATTGATCTTTGGTGGAATATCTTTTCTGGTCGTATTTTTTAGGGGAGTATTTTTTTTAGGGTTGATCTTCGGTGGAACATCTTTTCTTGTAGTATTTTTTAATGTATTCTTTTTAGGTTTGATCTTTGGTGGAATCACCTTCTTGGGGTTTTTCTTTGGCGGAATCTTTTTGGGCTTCGATTTTAGTGGGGCGTCTGTTTTTGTACTGCTTTCTGTTGGATTCGTCATAGTTGGACTGGCTGTTTCTGGAGAGTGTGTGGTAGTTATCATACCAGATGTTGTTGGACTATTTGTAGTGCTCTGGAACTGTGGATCCATGTTCTCGTCTGTGTCTGGGGCAGACAGAGGTGGGGAATGGGTAGTAATACTGGTAGAAGTTGTACTAACTGAGGCAGTTGTTATGGTTAAGAAAGTGGGGAGGACAGGAGAGCTGGTGGCAGCTGGAGGATGAGTGGTGGTCATTTGTGTGGCACTAAGTGGGGATGAGGTGGAATGAGCAACAGCGGCAGTAGTGGTAGGAGGATGAGTGGTGGTCCAGGGATTGATGGTAGAAGCTATAATGGTGGTGCTGACAGCTCCGGTGGGTTGAATGGTGCTGAGGTCAGAGCTGAGGGTGCTGGTGGGTGGAGGGGCTGTAACACTGGGCAGGATGGAGGTGATGGGGGTGGATGTGGAGGTAGAGTTGGGTCGAGGCTCTGTAACGGTGGCACTGCTGCAGGACTTGCAGCACATGCGCTTGAACTCCGGTATAGAGCAGTGGCGTTTAAGCACCTCCATACGACAGAACACGGAGCGGTCTCCATGACAACGCTGGCCTGTGGAGGAGAGAACAGAGAGCTGAGACTGGGTGCAGCCAGCGGTAAACATAATGAAGAGGTGTGTGTTTATGTGTCTGATTGCTCAAATATATCTTTGTACATGACAGATTGTGCAACAATAACAATATGTTACATTGACATTAGTCTTTGTGTGCATGTTGTTTATACATAAAGTACATGCATACGGGTGTGAGTGTGTGTGCTGGTTCCACACCGTGCAGAGTACAGTAGTAAAGCCAGACCATTAGCAGAGGATGCAGGAAGGAAGAGGAGAAAAACCCAAACATCAAGAGCAGTCATGAGATTAGTCCAGAGCAACTGAAATGGAAAAAGAAGGGTCGCCAGTCTTGTGTTGTAAATATAAACGTTTCAGGTAATTTTGACTTTTTCTTGCCCGTGCAGCTTCGTGTTGCCTTTGCGTCGAGTATCCCTTATGTTTTAGTTGTTCAATTTTAATCCTCTACGACTTGACTTGTACCCTTTTTGTACCATGCCAGTAAAAACAACGGCGTTCTCCTGGCAATATTTGACATTTTCTCTGACAAAGGATCTAGCCAGTGAACATTCCTGGTGAGAGAAAGATCACACTTTTTAAAACATTTTTATTGATACAACTTTGCTGTTGAGAATGACAGTAACTGAAACAATGAGATGTACGCCCCCGCCTGCTCAATATATAGATATATTCTTTTCTTAAGAAAAATAATTCAACTGTATCGAAAGTTACAAGTTCACAGTCACTTTGGTAAAACACTTCATTACTTGGAAATCAACCAGTCAATCTGTTTATCGATTGAAAAAAACAGAACATGAAATACATAAATGATATTTGCTGTTTAAATGAAATACATAATTTCCATGATGATGTAAAAACTGGAATGGCACATTAAGTGTCATATGAAACATTTACAAAACATTAATAAAATTTCCCTGATAAATCAAAGTGCATATAGACGCAGTGCACGTAGTCCATCTGAATGTTTCTTCAACGTTAGCCAAACGTTAGCCAGCCCCACACAGCAGGCCAGTGAAGCCACAAAACAGTTACCCATAGTATAGAATATTATAGAAGAAGATAACAGTCATGAACATTATTAAATACAGTCAACACCAATGTTATATACAGTCGCACTGCTAGGTCTGGCTTGGTCTCATACAGTCCAACTCCAGCAGAAGGAAACCTTGGATAGCTCGCTACATAGTCACAACAGAAATATGTGATCACAATACAATGACAAGTCTGAAGTGTTTTTTTTTTTTTTTTCTAGATGCCATATGTGTCGATACCCTAGGCCCTTTGTAAACCCTTCCCAGTAGTCGGACATTGGTCCAACATCACCTTGGTAGGTTTGATGGTTGGCGGGTGTGAGTTTGTTAAGTTGGTTTGAAGCTGCCTCTATTCCGAGTGAAACTTTGAATGAGTAAAGCCATCTCTTTCACAGATAAATGCCATTACATTCAATCCAAGATAAGGCATTGTTCATGTGGTTAATGTTCATCAAAATAAAATGAGATCATTGGACGCTCTCAAATCAAAGTTTATGAGGTATTTCTGTATCTGATCGCAATGTGTAAAAGCCCGAATGATGAAGCTCCCATACACACACACAGACATGCACACACAGACACACATACACGCACACACACACACACGCACGCACACACACACACACACACACACACACACACACACACACACACACACACACACACACACACACACACACATACACACACAGACACATTTACAGACAAGACTAGTACATCTCATTCAATCACGCAATTCATTAACACACTCATCTAAGCTTACACACACACATCCAGAGACGTAGACACACACACAGATGCACTCACACACATAAATACACACGCATACAGGTGATGGATGCAAATGTGCATGACAAAACGTGATCCTATCCTTAAAGAAAACAAGAAGCGACAGTAAACCACTGATCCATCTGAGAGAATGGAGAGGCAACTAACTGACCAAGTCCTGCATAATATAGGTCTAACCCCTTCCCCCCGAAACACTTTACCTTTATTAAATATTCATCTGTATTCATGTAAAATCAATAAAAAAATACACATAACAGTCAAGGATCTAAGCGATCAATAGCAGTCCAAAGGTTTTAGGCAAATAAGCTACAGCTTATTCATGGTAAAACATTATTAATATTATTGTTACTCATATAGATTTAGATTTATAGGTATATATAAATACAAATATATTTATAGATGTATTTGTTTAAAGTCTGCAAGCACAAATAAGCTGCATTTATTGAACTTTAGTATAACAGTCAAAGAGAGGATGGCTGATGATGAGGTGAAATGGGAAGCAACCTCAAGCGGTCAGACTACCCTGTTTTTTTTTCCTTTTTTTGATTTTTTAAAATTAGCCTTCCTTCAAGATTATTCACCTCACTGTTCCCTCCCCCGAAAAAATCAAAAGGTTTACTGATGTCACTTCCTGTCCCTGTGCTGAGTTCCTGTCAATCTGAGAATGGAACGTAGAATGAGACGCCATTCTCATCCCCGAATGGAACCAGGATGTCAGATGAGCACTTTAGCAAAGATGTCCTCATTGTGACAAGATCACATTCACAATAAAGCTTTCATATTTTTTTTATAACTTTTTTTTTCTATATAGATATTTATATACCTTTTCTGTTTATTTTCACACCTGTTTCTCCCCACAATGACAGTGCGCTACAAAAAGAAAAAAGCGCAGCTGCATCTCAGGAGTGGTAACCCATGACAACACGCAGCTAGCTCGCGCAAAACATGGCCGCCAAATGCAGAGGGGGTCCCCTCACACGTGAACGGCTCTTCGACACGTTCTCAGGAGGTGCCCATGAAAACCTGTTCGCCTTGCCACTTCGAATCCTTTTCACATCAAATTTTTTGTTGATCTTTTGAGTGTTCGACTGGCCAGCGGTTACAACACAATGCTCCACAAAGGAGAGATAGAGAGATAGAGAGAGAGACAGAGCAAGAGAGAACCAACTAGCACACACAGGAGCCAGAGACCTCCCCCCAGTCAGAGCCGTCTCAGACACAGAGAGAGAGAGAGGCAACATCCCCCCCCCAAAAGAGAAGCGAAAGCTTTGCCGCTCGCTCACGGGCGTGGGCACAGGCACGGGCCGTGGGGGAGGTCAGGGGGCCAGTCGGGGCCGGCCCTGCAGAGACAGGAGGACAGAGATGGGCAGGGCCCAGCAGAGGACAGACATGCAGCTGCGGCTGCCGCTGTGGAGGCCAGGCTGGGAACTAATGAGGGAGGTTTTACGTGAGGAGATCTTCGGGAAGTTGGGGTCGGGGCGAGACAGCCACTGGATCAGGATGTTGCCGTTCTTGTTGAGGTCTGATGAGCCCTCTGCAGAGAGAGGAGGAGAGTGATGGAGTCGTTAGGGTGGGAGGGTAACTCTTTGAATGGTTATTAATGATCATCTTCCCCATCTTTTTTTTCTACATTAATATCAGAACCTATTTGCTGAGATCTGGCAACATGGTGGCGGTACAGTGGTGCAGTGGATAGCATTGTCCCTGGTTTGAACCCAGGGTGGGGGAGCCCTTCTGTGGGTAGCTTGCATGTTCTCCCCATGCCAATATGGTTCATCTTCGCGTACTCCAGCTTCCTCCCACAGTCCAAAGACATGCAGGTTAACTGGTGACTCTAACTGCCCGTAGGTGTGAATGTGAGTGTGAATGGTTGTCTGTCTTTATGTTAGCCCTGCGATAGGGTAACCCCCCCCCCCTTTTTTACTATAAAGATGAGTCTCTCCAAAACTGCAAATAAGATCCGCGTTTAACAAAATGAAATTTTAAGACCACTGCATATAAGTGAATTTGAGTGACTTCCACATGTATGGTTTGCCCTGGCAGGTTATCTGTGGGTTTGAAGTTCATTAACACTCACTGGGACATGGATCCAGGCGACAGACTCTGATGGTGTCAGGCTTACTGTCCAGACACAGGCCGATGGTGTTGTCCCTGGTGTGGCACAGAGCCTGTCTCTGCTGGGTCCCATTACCACATGTCACCGAGCACTGGAGGGAGGCACAGGACACGAACACAAACCAACACATTATAACATGTCACCAAGTATCCTGTATAGACACATAAAAACTTCACTAAAAATGTAGAACAGTACAAAGGCGTTTAAGGTGCACGAACATCACGACTGACTGATCGTTTTTTAATCATTACTCTTGGTTTATTGTTAGTAGTAACAGTGAAGATCACATGATCTGTTTCTCAGAGGCCTGTCAGACCTGCCAAGAATAAAGTTCTGAGGAAGTCTTGTGATATTTAAAACACCACATGTCTTACAAAAATACCAGCTGTTGGGCTTCAGTACAAAAATATCTGCACAACTATTTTCCTGAGAAAAACTCAAATAGGCCAAACATCATTTTCCATCTCCCTGACCCACGTGCGGCCGACATACCTGCGACCACGGCCCAACTCTCCACTGGGTGGGGCAGGGGTGTCGGTTGCAGGATCTGCGGGTCTCGGGCCGCTCGTCGTTGCAGTGTTTATTGTGGATGGCGCGCGTGGTGTTGTCATCTGACGGCTGGACACAGCTGACCGAGCGGACTTGCATCCCTGTCTTTCCACATGGTTTGCTGCAGTTCTGCCACTCCCCTGTCACCCAGCTGGAGAGCATCACGGGAGAGAGAGAAACAGAGAGAGAAACAGAGAGAGAAACAGGAGCTCTGAGGGCACTCAAAATGCCAAAATGCTGAAGTAAACAATGAAAGAGAAGGAAAGAAAAAGACAGCTGAATGCAGAAATGCTCACCGGCCACTTTATTAGGTACACCTCTTCAACTGCTCGTTAACACAAATAGCTAATCAGAAACTGCTGATCTACTGGGATTTTCACACACAACCATCTCTAGGGTTTACAGAGGATGGTCCGAAGAAGAGAAATATCCAGTGAGCAGTTCTCTGGGTGAAAATGCCTTGTTGATGCCAGAGGTCAGAGGAGGATGGCCAGACTGGTTCAAGATGAGGGTCCAACCCGGCACTAGCAAGGTGTACCTAATAAAGTGGCAAATGAGCGTGTGTATATGTATGTGTACAATGCATACATGGGTGGAGGGCAGGGCTTCTGGTTGCAGTCTCTGGTGTCTCCTCTAGGTTTCATGTTGGATTTGTTACAGTAGCTCTTGTGGACCATCTTACTGTCGACTTTTCTTCTGCAGCCGTATCGCAGGTACTGCTTCCCTACAGCAAGAGGAAAAACAAAAATTGAGTGTAAGCACCAGAAACATAAAGACAGGTATGAAAAATGCACAGTTCACAGTTTTACAAGTGTTCTCCTTGCTCTACCGTACCTCCTCCGCAGACCTTGGAGCAGTAGGACCATTTCTTTGGAGCCCACTCATAGGCACTGTCCTCTACCAGCATGTTGTTCTGAATGGCACTGTCACTGTCCATGTTCATCATGTACTTATAAGACAAATTCACATCCTCATCGCCGTGTAATTTCATCTGGAAATAAAAAAAGTGACAACACTTAAGCTAGCTGACATTATTTCAGACAAAAAGAAAGATAATGCTTGTGTATAACCAGATTCAACACTGTCTTCATTTAGTTAAACGTGTACCATTATCAGAATTCCATGTCTGAGAGGACCGGTGGTCTGAAGCGTCTCCTTGTCTTTGTCATTCTCGTATTCCCACTCCACGCCCTTCTCTATGACCGAGTGGGATTCTGGGTATTCGTTTTCCCCGTTCAAGAAGAACAGTCCTGATGCCACGTTCTTTACAGCTGGAGATGAGGGAGAAATATTCATTGATTACACTGGTGAGGGGTTAGTGTGTGGGAAGGTTGTGACAAGTAGTTCATGTTGTAAATTAAAAATTTTTTAAAATAAGGTAGTAAACAAATAGAAAACTTAAGTAAAACAATTATTGTGTATGAAACGTTTGGAACTTAATTTCTGTTTTGGTTTTTCCCTCTTTGTACTAAGTAATGACTATTACTGTGTAAAGTCCTATTTACATGGGACTGTAAATAGGACCCACCCCCACCACCACATCTGTGTTTCATGCTTTGCACACATAAGCAAAGTATTTTATTTGAATTTACTGACGCTATCCCCTGAATATGATGCACACGTCATTTGTGAAACCACTCTACACAACACAGAAACTGTTCTTCTGATTGATTTGAGCTGGAGCCTCCTGCACCCAAAATGCAGCCAAAGTTTTTATTTATAATTGCCTCTGTAATATTCAACCAGAAAGTGAGGCAGAAACAAGCTCAGGAGAAAACAAAAAACCTGACTACAGCCCCAAATCTGCGAGATGCCGATTTACACGGGACTAATGTTACCACATGACCACTAAGTTTGGGGAAATATGGTAATTTGTGGTGGATTTTTTACTGGAACAATTACAGACATGGCAGATTTGCAAAGGATTAGGATCCCAGAAGACTTCCATGATTATTAGAAATTACAAAAGGTCCCCAGGTAATACTGTGTGAATAGGTCTTAAGAAAAGTTTTTGTATAGTCTGAATGAAGTAGTGAGAGGGTACTTGAATATGAAATGTCAAAAGGGTTTGTATAATAAGCTTAAGCTTCAGCCTACACCTTTATGTTATTTTGTATATTTGTTTTTCCTTTTAATTGAATGCCTTATTGTTATTTATTCCTTTCAATGTGAATTCATTTTGCAGAAGTGTTAACGATGACCAAAATAAATTGCTACTGCTACCCCTATGATCACAAATGTATACAATACAGTACATTACATACACACTGAGAAGGAAGCAGTGTACATCTGTCAAATACCTAACGTGTGTGAGGTTGCTTTCAGCTCTTGGATCAGTAAATGTCTCGCTCCTCTGGGAATTTCAAGAACTTTGAGGAAACCTGAAATGAAACACACATCTGGTTTGTGACTCCGACATCATTAAAAGCTCCTTTTACAGTTTCCTGACTGAAAGCCTTGGCTAATCCAGTAAAGAGGCCTTGCTCATTTTTACCAAGTATCCCTACTCACAGGTTAAAACCATAGACAATTCTCACCCAGAGTAAACATGTGATTCTGGGAATTGTGGTGATGTAATGTTGGTCTGTCCTGACATCAAAGGTTAGATAATATACTAATAAACATGCGCTCATAGAGTTCTTGGCAATGCTTGACTCACGTGGAAACATATCAGCTGAGATCTCACTGAGGACATTGTTGCAAATCTTCCTCTAGAGGGCGATGTTTAGCTGAACATAACTGACTATAAGGACACTGGCCAACTATTTATGCTGTACTTATCAGCATGATGGACAGCTGCTACACTGATGTCATGTCTGTCCTAGATTTAGATCAGAGTTATTGTGACTGTTAGCGTGTGCTCACCTTGTTTCTTGGCAGTACGCGTGATGGTGTCTTTGAAGGTTTTGCAGTTGGAGTTGTCTCCTCCACACACTCCACACTTGTCCTCCTGCTTTGAGGAGCCCACCACACCGTCACAGCCCACTTTCTGTTCATGAGGACATGGAAAGTTTAACGAGCTTTCATCTGACCACACGCGGCTGTCTTCCTCTCTCACACACACACGACATCACTCACCTCACATTCCCCACGCACGCACACACTGTGCGGGTCCTTGTACGAGCAGCGCGTGCCGTCCAGGACCATTCTCTGCATGAAGACAACATCTCGTGTCTCCTTGGATTTGCAATGCAGGTGGCAGCGTTTGTTAGCTGGGAGACAAAAACAAAAACACAACAAAAAAATGACCTAATTGGCACATTTGCGATCCATGTTGATGATTTCATCTTTACAACCAACATTTAAAAAAAAAAAAAACTTTCTGAATGAGCTCTTCGTGAGTCAGCGTGACGCTCTGTCTCATTGTGTCTGTCTGCATGACTCATATTACAACTACATGAGCCTCCGGAGACAAAACCTGGCAGTCCATCCCAGCGAGTGCTTCATCACGTTTATTACACATGGACATAACGCAGAGACTCTGTCTTATGGTGCTTAAGGTGACACTAATAAAGGTGGCAGACGTGCTACTGAAGAATTATTAAATGTGGAGAAAAACATGCTTTTCTCACGTTGACGGAAGAAAGCGCAGGAACGATGGGGGTGAACTCTACAGTGTGTGAAAATATGATAATCAAGGGAGCATTATATGTATGTGCATGTATGTGCATTATAGGTGTAATTACTCTATATTAGTGAGTCACAGTGTAGGCAGATTTATAATGTATTCACAGATTTATATATACCTCCAAAACAGTCTATATTAGCCACTCAGTCCAAGTAGCTATCAACGCCACACTATTAAACACCCTCTGTACCAGGGGTGTCAAACATACGGCCCGGGGGCTAGAACCGCCCCACCAAAGAGTCCATTCCAGCCCACTAGATGATTTTGCACACCTAATATTGATGCACCTGTGAAGGCTGAGAGGTGTCAGGTTTAAATGGTGTAAAATGCTGCCTCAGAGGCGTTTCCACTCCGACTAGAATACAGCTCTCTGATACAACAATAAATACTTCTGTGGTCAAATTTAAAGATACTGAACAGTATGCAAAATATTGTCAACCAGCAGCTTCAGTATAATCTGTATCAGACTTCTATCTTAAAACAATATTAGTAGAACCCTGTTTCTGAGGCACTGACAAAACGTCAGACTGCAAATGGTTTGTAAGGCAGGGGATGACTTCACCTGCTTCATCAATAGCTTCTACTGTAGTGGAAAAAAAAAAAAAGCCACATGTAATGAAAGTGAGTCGTAGACTGAGTGAATGTGGAAAAACTGAGACATGCTGTTGAATGTGCACATACACTGCCTGGCCAAAAAAAAAGTCACCACCAAAAAAAAAGGTCATACACTCTAATATTTCGTTGGACCGCCTTTAGCTTTGATTACCGCATGCATTCGCTGTGGCATTGTTTCGATAAGCTTCTGCAATGTCACAAGATTTATTTCCATCCAGTGTTGCATTAATTTTTCACCAAGATCTTGCATTGATGATGGTAGAGTCTGACCGCTGCGCAAAGCCTTCTCCAGCACATCCCAAAGATTCTCAATGGGGTTAAGGTCTGGACTCTGTGGTGGCCAATCCATGTGTGAAAATGATGTCTCATGCTCCCTGAACCAGTCTTTCACAATTTGAGCCCGATGAATCCTGGCATTGTCATCTTGGAATATGCCCGTGCCATCAGGGAAGAAAAAATCCATTGATGGAATAACCTGGTCATTCAGTATATTCAGGTAGTCAGCTGACCTCATTCTTTGAGCACATACTGTTGCTGAACCTAGACCTGACCAACTGCAGCAACCCCAGATCATAACACTGCCCCCACAGGCTTGTACAGTAGGCACTAGGCATGATGGGTGCATCACTTCATCTGCCTCTCTTCTTACCCTGATGCGCCCATCACTCTGGAACAGGGTAAATCTGGACTCATCAGACCACATGACCTTCTTCCATTGCTCCAGAGTCCAATCTTTATGCTCCCTAGCAAATTGAAGCCTTTTTTTCCGGTTAGCCTCACTGATTAGTGGTTTTCTTAAGGCTACACAGCTGTTCAGTCCCAATCCCTTGAGTTCCCTTCGCATTGTGCGTGTGGAAATGCTCTTACTTTCACTATTAAACATAGCCCTGAGTTCTACTGTTGTTTTTCTTCGATTTGATCTCACCAAACGTTTAAGTGATCGCCGATCACGATCATTGAGGATTTTTTTCCGGCCACATTTCTTCCTCGAAGACGATGGGTCCCCACTATCCTTCCAGTTTTTAATAATGCGTTGGATAGTTCTTAACCCAATTTTAGTAGTTTCTGCAATCTCCTTAGATGTTTTCTCTGCTTGATGCATGCCAATGATTTGACCCTTCTCAAACAGACTAACATCTTTTCCACGACCACGGGATGTGTCTTTCGACATGGTTGTTTAGGAAATGAGAAGCAACTCATTGCACCAGTTGGGGTTAAATAACTTGTTGCCAGCTGAAAGATAATCGCCCATGCAGTAATTATCCAATAGGAGGCTCGTACCTATTTGCTTAGTTAAATCCAGGTGGCGACTTTTTTTTTGGCCAGGCAGTGTATTTTTTCTTAGGATATTTCAGGCTGTTTATCAATTGTTTTGTAAATGGATGAGCGTTTTAAGAGTGGACTTATTTACACTAAAAAAAGGGAAAACTTTAAAGGGGTTGTTACTTATAGGTTGTTATGCAATGGTTTAACTAGTCCAGCCCACTTGAGATCAAACTGGGCTGTAGGTGGCCCCTGAACTAAAATGAGTTTGACATGCCTGCTCTATACCATGAAAAAGAAAGGCTACTGAAAACATATTTTTAAAAACTGCTCAAGTTTTCGATAATTAACTCCCAAATGTTAGAGTTTTGTATTAAAACAAGAGTAAGGTAACTGTATTTTGTTGCAAAAAACCCCATCACATTACAAATACATATAGTAAAAACTGAGGTTAATAGCATTAGGTATAAAGAATGATATACCACCGTGCACATGCGCAAACATTACAAAACTTCACCAGTCACGTGTTGAACACTTTCACTGTACGTCTGTAGATTACTGCCTGAATTTGCTCAATGAAAACTAAGTTTTTCTTTAAAAATACTGAGCAGAGGACACATTTTCGATGCTAAAAATGTTGGTTCCCCTTTTTCTTTTTTAAGCTTACATTTGTCTCACAGATTACATAAATGTGGATTTAAGATACACAATGCAGGAATTTCCTTAAAAGAAATGTAGAGACTCGCACAGAGGTCATCACTCTCAATCACTTATGAACCACTACAAGTGTGTTGCGGTGTATTTTCCTGCAGAGACTCTGCCTGTACTTTCTTATTTTCTGTGCTTGGGACGTTTATGGGTGTGTACCCCCACAGCGCTGAGGTGAGGTCGGGGTTTTATAAGAAGGTAGCAACCAGGTGCCAGACCATAAGCAGCATGCATCCAAGAGACACAGCTCGGAAAAAACACAAATCTTTGGTTGGCTTTTACTTTCGCTTTTGCTAGCAAGTTCGTTTACAAACAGTAACTGACATTACTGCATAATATACCTTTAAGTTTAAATAAAAGTCATCTTAAGTTATTTGCATATTCGGTATTGATGTAATTCAAAGGTAAATGAGAGTTATCAAGTTACATTACTTTAATACTATGATACTTGTTTTGCCTACATTTTTTTTAACAGGTAATTAGTAACTGTAACAAAATGTATTTTTTCAGTGACACTTCCAGTCCTGTTGAAGGGTGTACTGGACTCTAAGGGCAATGAGAATTTTAAAATACATGGATTACACATTACATTTCAACATGCAAATCAGTTTACAGTGTAGATTGAGAAGAGCGTTTTTACTTCATTTTTGAGACCCTCAAAATAAGATTCTGATGTTTTCAGAAGGTCCAAGGTGTTAAATGAAGCATCACTGAAATGTTTTGCACACTGCTCTACCTGGAGTCTGGGAGACGTCTGATCAAATCTGTGTGGAAACACTGAAAACAGGAGACGATTTCTGATGTACAATAATGTAAAAGACCAAAGGGTTAAATGAATCCCTTTAAACAGCTGGTTGAACAGCCACACACGCGGCAGCTCACACTTCATGTCTCTTTGCTCAAGAGTGTATTACAGTATATCTGTTGACTTGGCAAACGAGCCAAATAGAGGCAAAAAAGCAACAGTGTGTCAAACATCTCTAAACAAATACTACAATTTCACACTCGGAGCAGACACACTCTTTTTCTCTCCTAACACTATCTGAAGCTCATGAGATGACAGACCATGAATGGAATTCAATTTCACCTCCCTGTTCACTTTTTTCTCTCTCTTTCTCTTTCTCTCTCTCTCTCTCTCTCTCTCTCTCTCTCTCTCTCTCACACACACACACACACACACACACACAGACACGCACATCTGTGCTCGCACGCTAACACGCATTCATGAAAAAGTAATTTGAGACTGAGAAAGCCTTGCTGAAAAATATGGCATTTAGAAATGATAAGAACGGAGAAAAACAATTTAGCAAGGCCCCTCTTAGCGGAGTGTGCGTAGCGTGACCTGCGATTAGATATGGAGACAGCTCAGCACTTTCTCTAGGGTTGCCCTTTAGTTGGATGATAATTTAATACCTATCAGGACAGCAGTGACACCTCCACTTAGAGACAGGGTGGGTCTGACAGCCACACACACATACGTTTTAAATCTTCTCAATGATGTAAAGAGGTTCTTGATATTAAGTGCTCTGATAGCTTGTCCATGTGTGCCAACTGATACATGGAGGAAGAGGGGGTTAGTGAAGTTAAAATGACATCATTAAATGGGTGGAGAGTGAGAAGACTCAGAGTTCAAAGAGGATTGTTTTCAAAGAGATTTCCAAAGAGATGGCATGTTTTTATGGGAGGGCGTAGCCGTAGCTCAAAGTAGCCTCAGCAGGACAGCCAGATGTCAATGACCATAACAGAACGCAACCTATATATATAAAACCCTCTAAAACCCAACCACACTCAAAAATTATGTGTTTGCTTCCTCCTTTTGGCTTCTTTACAACTTCCACAGTGTATCATCACTTATGGTCTGTCATCCTCAGGCCAGTATCTTTATTCTGACAGCCTCTCTCTGAGTCCACCTCTCCACCAAGTTACGTCATCCCTTTCCCATCTGCGGGTGGATACTCACGGTCTGTGTGTTCATAAGGCAGCCAGTGGTGCTTGTTGTTGCTGTGGATTTCAAAGCGGGGGTCCCAAGCGTGGCATTGCTCCTCTCGGGGGTCGCTGTAGATATCCTCGCACTCATTGGTGTTGCACATCTGGAACTGGTAAGTTGCCCCCACACAGGTACGGCCTCCGTTGGCTGGTCTGAGAGGGTTGCAGCAGGGCAAAGGACGCATTATCAGTCAAAATGCGTGTTAACTTCTGAAATTCACTGGCATTTATCTCAAAAACTTTGGAAATGAAACATTTAACACTTGTACAAATTATCTTGGTCTATGTTAATGGAGCAAATTATCGCTTTCAAGAGTCAGTGCAACGAATATCAGAAGTTAAGTACCAAGAACTCATTGCAGTATGCTTGCTAAAACAAGTTTGGAGAATTCTGTATAATTAAGCACAGACTGAAGACTTGCAATTCCACTCTTTTTACACACACACACACACACACACACACACACACACACACACAATATACACGCTGGGAAACACAGTTTCATACCTAGGATTGTCACAGTCGCGTGTGCGAAACTGTACCCCTCCACCACAGGTGCGGGAGCACTGGCCAAACTCACTCCATGAGCCCCAGTTTCCATCTTGCTTGATGATGTCAGGTGTCAACCAGATGCAGTGACCTTTAAAGCAATGCTGCAAAAGGCAAAGTACATAAGACATAGTTGCTATTTGGAAACAGTGTTCCATCACATTATTTCTCTTTGACAGAATGTTTGTTAAAGGAATACTTCACCCACAAAGCTACCATTATGAGATCAGTTAAACATTTAGATCACCAAGTGAACGGAGAATCCAAAAAAGGTGAACATTCTTCATGGATTGAAGTAAACGGGAACCGCGTGAAACAATAGCAAAACTATATCGAAAAATCTGTTGCAAACCTTCACACAACTCTAGCAGTATAATACAAGTCTTGTTTATCCAGTCGTATGCTCAGTACTTCACAAACACACGCATTTACACCAAAATGTGAACATTTCCTCCTACGAGCAGCATGCTTGTACTGACATGTCTTAAATAAGTGGTTCCCAACTAGTGGGTCGCGGTCCAAAAGTGGGTTGTGGGTCCCTTCTGTGTGGACCGAAAAGGACTTACAAATTTGTTTAGTTTATAAAACACACACTTTATTTTTAAGTACAGGGAATTTCCGGCACAGAGCTTTTATTTTGAAGTGCCATTTCCTGCTGTAGATAGAGTGACTGAAGGACAGCTATTTGACAGAGACAGCTAAAGTAGCTCGACGATATGGCCAAACGCAAGTATGACGCCAAATGTATTAAACTAGTTGTGAGCTACTGTTTTAAATCGTAATGTTTTAGTGTAAATGCAAGTGTTTGGGACGTACTGAGCATACAACTGGATAAATGACACTTTGAGAGTTTGTAAACAGATGTTTTGATATAGTTTAATTGTTGTTAAATGCAGACCCCTATGACTTCAATTCATCAAGAACTTTCTCAGTTTTTGGATTCCTCGTTCACTGAGGATGCATGTGAGAAAAACAATGTTATCTTCACAAATTCAAGGTAACACATAGTATAAAACTGATATACAATTGGTCACTTTGCAGGTGAAGTTTTCCTTTAAAGTAAAACTGTATAATTACCTTCCCATTCCCGCACATGGTGCCATCGATGGGTGGTCCTTTCTTGGTCTTGCAGAAGAAGGGATTGTCTGGGTGGCTACACCACAGCTGCTTACATGGGTCAAATGTGCGATACTGTGGGGCACAGAGAGAGACTCCTTCTTACAATTAAAAGCCCTACTACGCGGTCAACACACTGGGAAACAGACTGGCCTTCAATAATACAAGTCAACCATCATGAAACAGCTGGAATGACACTAAACACTGAAAAAAGGAAATAAAAAAAATAGAGATGAGAAGAGAAATATCACTACAACAATAACCACAACAGTGTTATACCCAACAATAACAACACCGACCCCGCACTGCGTCACTGCACTGTACACTACGCTCCACTGAGAAACACACAGCCATTCATGCAAACTAAACCAAAGGATGAGAGAGAGACAAGACTCTCAGAATGAGACGGTCCGTGGTTTAATTAGGTCACAAGGGAGGTCAGAGGGCAGAGGGCAGAAGATTAAAAGGCCGAAAGGTTAGGTCTCATCGACCTCTAAAATGCCCCTAGACACAGATCAAGGACCAAATTCTCCTCTTTGTCTGATATGAACCATTGATGAGGATACCACCAAACTGACCCACAGTCCAGTGTCTGAGGGGCCGTGCCCTCCTCCCTCCTTTCCACAGACTTTGATACCCATCATGACCCCAGAGGACCTTTGCAGGTCGGAGGGCGAGTCACAATCAATGGCTAGACTGTGGTAGGTAATCACCAATGACATCAGACTGGAGGATCCTAAAAGCTGAAGTGAAACATGGAAAAACAGCCTCTGTTCTGGCTCAGCTTTTCCCCCCTCGCATGGGAAAGACATCTTTCCAACCTTTTCCACTCGTTTATAGTCGTGAGTGTGCCAATATAATGAGGCTCTTCCTGCCAGCGTTGCCGTGATTTAACACAGATTCGCAGGAAAAGAGTCGGGATATGATACGGTTCAACTGTTGAACTGCACCATAGCCACTGAACCAGTAAAGTCACAGTGTTTTTAGAGACTTTACAGCCACTGTCTTTAGAAATGAGCATTTTAGAATCCTGCAGACTAACGCCAAAAATATGACGATGGGTAGAACAGAGAAACAAAGTACAGTAAAAAGAAAAGTAAGGAGCAACATTACAAACAATTACTACTTCAGAGGACAAAGAGAAAAAAGAAAATCTGAGAAAACAAATGACGGGCCACATGTCTTCCGGGAGGTAGTGTTACCTTACCTGCGTTCCTGACTGGCCCGCCTTTTGTAGCTGAGGGGAATGGGTTTGACAAGAGAATACAGGGTGATCTAGCAATGTGTGCAAAGCCTCTGAACAAGCCCTTTGTCAATCAAGCAATAGCTTCCCAACAGCGTGCCACAGTGGCTTCACAGTCATAGAGTGGGTGAGGGTGACGGGGGAGGGGGGAGAGGTAAGATGCCTGGCGAGATGCTGAAGCTGGGCGAAGCTCGTCTAACTGTGACGGTTTGCGTTTACAAAAATACTGTTTGTGACAGGCTCATGTAAAGGCACTGTGGTATCAAGGTAAGTGTTGTGTTGAAATACTAAATGTAATCTTAATTAACATTAATAAGTGCAAAAAGAAATAGCTATGAAAACCAATTACCTGCTTTTAAGCAAGATGCCAATCCCACCAGTGGCCGGGAGAGGAAAGCAGAGGACATCAGAAGAATGTGAATAGCTGTGTATGTGTTACTCTTTCATTACAATGCAGATCAGAGATAGATGTCAGTGCTGGGTTCAGTTCACTAGGAAAACCTTCAGAGCTCAAGAGCTCCCATACAAATGTATCTTTCACAGTGAAATTCAGCAAATTCTGATTTAACTGAATAGACTGAATTCAAAGTGAGTATAGCCCAACTCTGAAAAGCTGCTTCATCTCAGGAGATAAAGTGATGCTAAGCTTGACTGGTGGCAACGGTTGTAGAAGTTGCCTTCAGTTAGACAGTGTTAGTAAACTCTAGCTATGTTAGTAAAGTGTCTATGAGACTATGGGGATCTCTTACCGCGGTGCACATCGTGTAGCCCACACCGAAGTCAAAGCGACACTGTTCGTTCATGGAGTAGTGCAAACCGGGAAGCTGGGGCAGCGATGGCCAGTTGTGGTCGAAGGGGTCGTCACGGAGACAATCATAGGAACTGCAAGAAGAATCAAAGAATCTGATTAAGTTTTACTTTCTTTATTTTTGTCCAGTTACTTGTGTCAGTGCACAGTATTACAATTAGGGCTGCAACTAACGATTACTTTCACTTTTGAGTAGGGGTGGGGGAAGAAATCGATACAGCATAGTATCGCGATATTTTCGTGTGGCAATATCGTATCGCCACACAGAAAGTATCGATTTTTTTAATTATCTAAATTATTACAAAAACAAATTTAACTTTAGGTAGCCCACTATAATAATATAATCAATTGCTTTTTCAGTCCACTAGATACGTTTTGCTGCTGCTGCTGCAGAAAAAAAAAAAATCCAACAGTGAGATGAACTGACTGAAAACTTTATCTTACTAGATTAAACAGATGTTGCCAAAGTTTTCCTTTGAGGACAAAATTACAGTTGAAAAGGGAATAAATCGCAATATATTTTATCGTAATACTCAGCTTATCGCAACATATTTAAAATTGCAATAATATTGTACCATGACTTGAGTATTGTGATAATATCGTGGATCCCCTAGTGATTCCCACCTCTACTTTTGAGTTATGTAATGGTTTCTTAAGCATGCTGTTTGTAACTCTGGAGCAAAAGAGCTGATTGTTGAGTCTTATTTCCAGGTTGTTAAATACTGATGCTTCTGGTTGCTGGTTCAGGCTGACTACCGGCCCAAAGCGTCAGTATTTGACGACCTGGAAATGAGACTGAACAATCAATTCTCTCGCTCCAGAGTTACATACAGCACCGCTGATTTTTAGTTTGGTCTATACCATGTTACAAAATAGTGAAAAACCTCCAGTCCCCCAAAACCCAAGGCGATGTTTTCAGATCAGTTGTTTTGTCCAAACAAAAAGTTCAAAACCAAGAGATTTAAAATATACGATAGATAAAGATAAAGAGGGTTAAGAGGCAAATATTGACATTTGAAAAGTTTTAAACCATTGATTTTGGGCACTTTTACCTAAAACTAAACTGATTGATCAAAAAAACTGCTGATAATTCAAGTGTTGTAGGACCCTGACACCACCAAGCCGATAGTCAGCCATTGGTCATTGTTGGGCCGTCGCTGAGTGTTTGTCACCCTATTTATTTGCAGTGTGTCATGCACAGTTGGTCCAAGTTAGACCTTGCAAGCTTATCTTTTTTTTGCTGATTCAGGATGTTGAATCGCCATGAGACGGCTGAGCCATTTGGTGAGTGAAATCACTCTGATTGGTAGTTCAGCTCAGTGAACCAGAAGAGAAACAGAAGTGAGGAAAGCAATCAATCAGCTAAAGTAAAGAGGGCTCGTGATCGAAACAAACTTGTTTTATAAGATAAGATTGTTTTTAGTCACTGAGCTCTTGAGCACTGCAGTTCCCAACTGATCCAGCCATGGGCTAAATCAGTGGTTCCCAACTGGTGGTGAGTTGGAAACCACTGATTTAGCAGAAATGGCTCGTAATTGTTTGTGTTATTGTTGGCTAGCGCATGGTAAATATCCTTTATTGTTTCAACATCAGGTTGTTTTGTTGATGTGCTAACTGGCTAATTAGCTTTTTGAATACATTCTGTTGGTCTGCAAGTTTAGTTGCTAGTTAACTGTAGTCTTTGCTGTGTGTTCAAGTTCAACTTTTTGGCCGAGACTCAGGTGATGAGAGTTGACACAACGGTTGGCCTTTCTCGCCACAATCTTTGATGTAGTATGTGTGGTGTGTCTGGGCCTTTAAACATAGTATGTGTGGTGGATTGCTGTGCTTAAACTTACCTAAACAAAGTATATAAAATGGATCTGATGGAAAGTTTAATCGAAACTTAAAATTTGGGCTTTCTCAGCTTGAAAACCACCACCATACCATGTTGGCAGTATGACTTTGTAATATAATAACTTTAAGGATAATAACAAAATCACACAAAAAAATGCAAATTCAGTCTAAAAATATTGAAGAAAGTACTGACCTTTAAAAAACCCATATAATGAAATGGTTATATGAGTGTGTGTGTGTGTGTGTGTGTGCGTGTGTCTTACTGAAGGTAGCGTCCCAGCTCTTGCATGCTACATCTGGACCAGTGAAAGCGGTGGAAGGCAGCTTGCACCAGCGGAGCCATGATGCTGCCCATGTGCACCTCATCTCCACAGCGGTTGCCCTGACCATCATGCTCCATCCCCAGCCTGCAGAGAGAGAGAGAGAGAGAGAGAGAGAGAGAGAGAGAGAGAGAGAGAGAGAGAGAGAGAGTGAGAGGGCTCAGGGGGTAGTGAAGGGAAAGGAGATGAACAAGTAGAGACAGATTGGGAACATGTGGGAGGAGAAGAATAACAAGGAACAAAGGGAGGAGGGGGGTCGTATCGTAGCAATTCTCTCATCAGATATCAGCTGAGGTGACTATTGAACCAGCACTGTAATAAATCAATACAGTCTTATAAGGGACTGCTTTGTTGTCTTTTGCTGTAGCATGAGAGCAGACTTGAAGACTTCATTATGACAAATGCACTTACACGTGTCCAGTCTCGTGTGCCACTACAAAGGCAGAGGAGAAACCGTCCTCATGGTTCAAAGTGCAGCTCCTCACTGGATGGCACATGCCCGTCACTGGGGCGTAACCTAGGCAAATAGGAAGAAAGACACAGCGGTCAGGATTTGTCCACTTAGTGTTGTGTTGTTCTGAAAGCTTTAGATTGTTAAATGTAGGGCTGTATTGAATGTAATTTTTCCCATGTTCGAGGCTTCTATTAAGGTTTTCGAATGCTGTAATTTTTTATGACTTCATAACCCTTCATCAATTCTCAATCTGAATAAAGTGAGTCATCAGAGTATTTTTCATTGAATGAAATTTTTTAATGAATAATGTGCTGTTAGAATGCTGCTAGAACACGCGTTGCTGTGTATGTGTGTGTTTCAGAGAGTGAGAGATAAGGTAAGAGAAGGTGGAAGGTGGGCTATTGTAGGCAATGTTTCTGTAAATTATCAATAACTTACTCAGAAACCTGTGATATTTCATCAGCCTTCCTGAACCTGCCCGACCCCCCAGTATGTGGGGTGGCGCCGCACATCACTACTACAAAGCCACCGCTGGAGTCTGATTCAACAAATAGTATGATACTAAAAAAAAAAAAAACTGTGTAGCCTAATCTTTATCTGCAACTGTGCAGGAATACCAGGATTAGACAGAATTTTCAATTTAACTCCATAAAGCGAAACATGCATCAGCTTAAAATATGTGCATTCGTGGGATGAAATTGATTTTGATAAACCATACTCATTTTTTTCCCCTTAAATCAGCGACCTACCTATCCAGAGATATTCATACTGTGAACTACTTACACATAGACACACACACACACACACACACACAGTACTCTTTAACACACATTCACATATGTGTGCATGTTTGTGTGTCTAATCCTAACCCTAAACCGTCACCTTCCACCCCTACATATGCCAATCTCCAACTCCCTGTGTGCTTGTCTGTCCTGTACTGCCTTTAATTGTGGGACTTTGGCTGGCCCTGCTCTGTCTATTGATTTTCTGCTGCTGAAGGCTGAGCCCAAGGGCAGCTGAAGGGCTTCTGGATAGCTAGGCCACTGCCTTTAGAGGCCTCTCCCCTGGGCCTGCCTGTTAGCCTGCACTCTGCTGCACAGAAAACCACCAACCACCAAACCCACAGCGCACTATGCAACTTTATAAGGCAGAGGAAGGAAGAGGGGAGTTTTCTGTGTATACCAAGGAGTTTTGGGTCCTCAGAGGGTGGGCATGCACTTCGGATGTATGTGCTATGTGTTAAACAGTAAGGGCTTGATATATGTTCATGTCTTTCTTTACCCTGCATCCCCGTCGGCCCAAATTCCTGCCGTGTGAGGAAGATGGCGTGATCGTGGTACTCGGCGTCCCCCGTGTCCTGCTTCTGCTGCAGGAATGCCCAACGACACACGTTCTCCAGACTCTGAGAGGGGTTCCCCAGTTCAATCAGACTCATGGACTGGGAGGACAGAGACACACACACATGGGAAAGAGAGAGAGAACTAAAGCTGCCTCTAGTTTCAGTTCTGGTACAAAAAACATTTAATTCAACCCTGTAGGGGGCAGTGTCACAATGTTATATATTGTCAGCACATCTTGCAAATTGCTGAGGTGTACAACACACACACACACACACACACACACACACACACACACACACACACACACCGAGGGATTCACAGTACTCACACAATAATGCTTAGGATGCTGTAGTCTTGATGGTTTCAATAATGAACATGAAACTGAACACAGAGCTGCCTATTAATGAGCTATGCACTAATAGTCAAAAACATGTCCAATTACAGACTGTTTACTTTTGATTAAATGCATAACACCGGCAACCACACTGATACCCAGATGCCAGTGATTCCTTCCATTCACCTTCACCTCTCATTCCCTTCCTCATTAGGATCTCCACTCCCCTCCCCTTCCTCCCTACACTCTGCTGTAAAAGTCTTTCCATCTCTCTCCTCCACTGCTTCCTTTTTGCCTCGCTTTCTACATTTCCTTCGCCGTTTTCACACACGCACTATGCACGGCTGAATCAAACGGCGAAGGGTGTGTGTAGCGTGCTGCAGCGAAGACATATGGCCTGCCCCTGCACAAACACCCCTTAGACAGAGTGCGCTGCACACGTGTGCGTGCTTCATCATGTTCATCAGGTGCTTGTGTGTGTGTGTGTGTGTGTGTGTGTGTGAGTGAGTGGGTTTTTATGATCTTTAAAGATGTACTTGGAATGGTGTGTCATGTGTACATGTTGTGTTGGAGTGTGTGTGTGTGTGAAGTGTGTGGGTGTGTGGGTGCGCCTGCATTCAGGGTCACATAGCCAATCTGCAGGCTGTCTGGGTGCAGCGCTGTTGCCACGGTAATTGGGGATGATGGACAGCTAGAGCTTTGGCTGAAGCTGCATAGGGGCTGGCCCAGAATGACCAATGTAGGAGTGTGTGTGTGTGTGTGTGTGTGTGTGTGTGTGGGAGTGTGTGTTTCCACGGCTCCACTGGGACTGTGGACATGTAGAGAGGAGAGGAAGAGATAAGGCTACAGCAGCATAAGTGTATCACAGAGCACCTATCCAGCAATAAATTCCCTTGTATCATCCTGTGGGGTAATCCCTGCCCGTCTCCATTCCTGCTATCTCCTGCTTTATCTCTCTTTTTCCCTCTCTTCCACTCTTTCTCACCTCCCCTCTCCGGCACAGACAGGAAGATAGAATTACAGTCAAGAAGAAAAGGATGCTGCCCCCATCGTCCGGTCTCTTTGTTTATGAATGAGGGAGGGCTATCATTGATTGTTTATCTTTGCCTGGACTTCCCATGATTCTGTGCTGCAGCCTACTGGGAGGAAGGCTGATTGCATAATGGGCAGAGTTTCTGTGTGCTTTGGTGCTGAACTGTGAAGGCGTGCGACTTGAAAACACTCCCCTGGGATGCTGCATGCTTTTAGTTCCTCTTTTGCTCAGGCCACTGGAATAACAGGCTCCGGGCATCAGTGCGTGCTGATGAGTGCATGTGTGTGTGTGTGTGTGTTTGTTTATAAGTGTGTGTGTACGACTTGGCTGTGCTTACTGTAGGTACTTAAAGCGATTGTGGAAAAATCCTAGTATCAAAGATAGCGCTGATAGAGAGACAAGGCATACACTTTTCAGGAATTGCATCTCAGTCGACTTTTCAGCAGAGCTCACGTCTCGTCAGGTCTTACCTTGCCGTAACCCAGCATGATAATTCGCACCAGCACCACGTTGATCTTTGCTCCCAAAGACTGGTCATGGTAGATTTCATTCACCTGCAGTCACACAGAGAAACACAAGACAGAAGTCTCAGTACAAGAAATTAAAAAGCATTCACTCAAGGGTGTGTAAGTTAGAGATCAGTGATAAGCCATTAATGAGGGCAAAGTTTGAATTTCCTAATAAGCCACCAGGTCTGCTGCTATATTAGTGAGTCATACATGTCAATAAAGATGTTTTATGATAATCCATCAAGTCTGCAGCTGTAAATATTAAAGGCATACTACGCATGATTGTTGGATACGAAATTGAAGGTGAAAGCCAACCCCCAGATTCCCTCCCATTTGGCGTTTCACCTCCCTTTATTGTTGCTGTTTTTTCAGCACTGTTTCTCTTGGATGTCTGCTGCTTATGGTCAGGCACCTGTTCGCTACCCTTTTATAAAGCCCAGACGTCACCTTACTGATGTGAGGGGACACGCCCATAAATGTCCCGCACACAGAAAATAAGAAAAAAAAGAGCAAATACAGGCAGATAAAAAGTTACATTTTACAAATGGCTTTTGGCAGATTTACAGATTTATAAACCCTTCTCATATGACTTTTACCCCTTTATACCGAAATGAGCACTTGTGTGCAGGTTTTTAAAATGTGGGAAAAACCACAATAGATTGCTTTCCTATTGTCAGTAGACCAGAGATGTGTTCACGGCTCAGCAGGTGAGTATGGCTGAAGCCCCCTCGTGTACTTCAGTTGTACAGGCTGCAAAAATAAAATACACTTAGATTCCCTCTACACACAACATATGTCTGTATCATGATGTTGCTGAATGTTATTTCTGGCCTACACAATTCAAGTAGCATTTTAATAGGCCTCACTATCAACAACTGTTTTACACATTTATACGTTTATTTTCGGCAATTGAAAAAACACAATGTCACATTCGTATTGCAATGAATTGTGGGTTATTAAAACAGGGAAGTCTGCTGAATTCTGCACCCCAAGCAGACTCTCTGGAAGTCAGCAAGTACGATGAAGTCCATTTGGATTCAACTGCTTTTTTTTTTTTTCTGGTGTGTCACAGTGAGATAACAGCAGAAAGCAGCATTGAGACCAGTGAAAATGTTACAATGGCTACTTCATTTTTACTTCTCTTACTTAGTTATCTCTCTTCCAAACTCCGTGCTGACGCTTCTTGGACAGAGATGGACGTTTTTTTCTAGCACGTTATTGCATCGCATGGGCAAAGGGGCTAAAATTAGCGCTGCCGATTGGAGCTAACTGAACCTGGAGCCAATAAATGCCCGTGACTACTGCAGAGTCATTTGGGAGTGAATGCCGATTGTAACCGTTCCTATAAATACACAAGCCAGATATTAACAGGTGTTAGTTGGTCTATTTTTTCAGCACGAAGGGGGCTTTATTAACCATGACTGAAACCAGAGGTTGCAAATTACAAACTTGTTATAAAGGGTGCCTTATTAGGAAGAGCAAAGATCTGACTAAAGTCTCCCACCACCAACATAGTGATATGAGAAACTAGAAGAGAAGTGAAGAGAAGAGCATGTCCCCAGAAAAAAGGGAGAAAAGGAGGTTGAGGAGAGTGCAAGAAACTCAGTTTCCCATGAGCACAGATGGAAAGGAGATGAAGGAAAAAAGATGCAAAGCAAGGAAAGAGCCTAATGCAAGGAAACAAGGTAATGTGTGACAAGGGAGATGAAGAGAGCATTATACTGGCAAAACACACACACACACAAGCAGGAGAAGAGAGAGAGAGAGAGAGAGAGAGAGAGAGAGAGAGAGAGAGAGAGAGAGAGAGAGAGAGAGAGAGAGAGAGGTAAATTGGCGCAGGAGTTGAGGCCTGCTGTCCTCACTGGCAGTGTGCGGTGCCTAATGAGGCAAAGGGATGTAAAAACAGACAGCCGTAATGAGATGGCTGATGGACACGCTGTGGAGACAGACACACACAGACTGTACACACACACACATGCACAGACGAAGAACAAAATTGCAGACACACCCAGCGAGAGAAAGGTATGAGAGAGAGTTGAGAAAAAATGCTACGAATAGAGACAGAGAGGCAGGGGGAAGGAGACTGAGCGGAGAGGGGAGAGGGAGCACAGAGGCAAAGTGAGGAAAGAGAAGGAGCTAAGGAGGGAGTGGAAACGATGCGTTCTTAGAAAACAAATGTAGCGTGGAGCTGCGGGTTTTTAAAAGAAGCGGGGTGAAATTCTAAGTTATCTAATGCTGTGTTCCATGCGTGGTGTTAAGTCGGAAATTCCAGCACGCTATTAGGAAAAATGCAGCGGAGTGATCCTTCAAGTCAGAATGCTAATTTGTTAGCCACAAACTGCCTGGCATTAATTTATCTGATTACATCAACGCATAAACATGGCGACTACGCAAAGGCTTAATGGCTTTACATCATTTTCAGAAACCTCTAAATAAAGTCATGTTTGATCGTCAGTATCGGCCCTTGTGTTATTAGAAACATCTGGTAAATGACTGAATATACTAATTAACCCCCTAAAATATAAAGTTTAAAGTTGCCAGCATTCCTAGCTAGCTCGCTAATGTAGTTAAATGCCACTAAAATTAGCGGTTTCGGTGGAAGCTGCATTTTATGTCAGGAGAGTCGGACCTTGTGGGCATCCGTGTGTTTGTTTCCAAGCTGGAACACTAGAAGCAATGGAGGCTGTCATTAGTCTGTGACAGTACTGTGACTGGGACTTTTTGACCTTCAAATGGGAATGGAACAGAGCATTACGTGAGGGAAAGAAGAGAACAATACGTAAGGTAGTGATCATGAGGCACTGGAAGGCAATGCAACCACATTAAGAGTGCTCCAGCTATTTTGGTACTGCACTTTCACAAAGTCAAGGAACTTGCAAGAAACAGTCAGTGGTCACATCTTTGAAACTCCAAGCCAAAACTGATTTTGTCAAGTACTTTCCCACAGACTTAACAAAGCTGAGATCCATTGTCCTGTGCAATACCTGTAATTCCTGCAGGACTATAACTGAGACATATTCCTGAGGGGCTTTTCATATTCCCAAGGGACTTTTTTGTAGTACAACTTTTATTTGTAATATTCCGACATGGATGGGACCTGCTAAAAAATGTCTCAAGGGATCTATCTTGATGTAATAACTTACTATGTATGAAAGATTCTTCTGTTGCTGTTTTACAGCCTCATCTGCAAAGTAACTAGTCACTATACACTCATCTGGCCACTTTATTAGGTACACCTTGCTAGTACCAGGTTGGACCCCTTTTGCCTTCAGAGCTGCCTTAATTTTTCCTGTCATAGATTCAACAAGGTGCTGGAAACATTCCTCAGAGATTTTGGTCCATATTGACATGATAGCATCACACAGTTGCTGCAGATTTGTCAGCTGCACATCCATGATGTGAATCTCCCGTTCCACCACATCCCAAAGGTGCTGTATTGGATTGAGATGTGGTGACCCAAAGTGTGCCAAGAAAATATCCCCCACACCATTACACCGCCAGCAGCCTGAACTGTTGATACAAGGCAGGATGGATCCATGCTTTCATGGTGTTTACACCAAATTCTGACCCTACCATCTGAATGTAGCAGCATAAATCCAGACTCATCAGACCAGGCAACGTTTTTCCACTCTTCTATTGTCCAGTTTTGGTGAGCCTGTGTGAACTGTAGCCTCAGTTTACTGTTGTCAGCTGACAGGAGTGGCACCTGGTGTGGTCTTCTGCTGCTGTAGCCCATCTGCTTCAAGGTTGGACGTGTTGTTGGTTCAGAGATGGTCTTCTGCAGACCTTGGTTGTAACCAGTGGTTATTTGAGTTACTGTTGCCTTTCTATCATCTTGAACCAGTCTGGGAATTTTTCCTCTGACCTCTGGCATCAACAAGGCATTTTCGTCCAGAGAATTGCCGCTCACTGGATATTTTCCCTTTTTGGGGCCATCCTCTGTAAACCCTAGAGATAGTTGTGTGTGAATATCCCAGTAGATCAGTGGTTTCTGAAATACTCAGAAACCGTCTGTCTGGCACCAACAACCATGCCACATCCAAAGTCACTTAAATCACCTTTCTTCCCCATTCTGACGCTTGGTTTGCACTTCAGCAGGTTGTCTTGACCATGTCTACATGCCTAAATGCGTTGAGATGTTGCCACGTGATTGGCTGATTAGCTATTTGTGTTAACAAGCAGATGAACAGGTGTACCAGGTGAACATATATATGTCTAGGGGTAAAAGGTACAATATCTCCCTCTGTAATGTCATTAGTTGAAATATAAAGTGGCATAAAATGAAAAAAACAGAAAGTACAAATTACAACAATGTGGTGACCCATTTATTTTGGAAGGCTGCAATCACATGACCAATGCGCTGACGGGATTAAAGAAGGAAGCAGTCCTAAGCTGTCCGTTAAGGAGGCAGGTTAAGTGGTGGATGGTCCACAAAATAGACTTTCCCCAGGAGACTGTGTGAACTTTGAATGAGCTGTGAGTCATTTTAAGGTACATCCTCCCTAAACCTGACCACACTCTCTTTACTTGCCCAAACCAGACCTCCATAACTTCGCGTGTCTAACTTGATGTTAAGGACAAACATGGGTTGCATTTTGTAGGACATCATATGAACGGTTACATGAGGATACTTTGACTTGTACCCTTTTACCTTCCACAACTGTACAACGTACAAAGTTGAGAGGGAGAAAGCTATGGTGTTAAAATGAATCTTATTTTTTTAATATCCTTTCAGTGTTTGATAATGAGCTTCAGTTCCTGAAATGAAGGACGGAGGAGTAAGGGACGAGTTTTAGAGTGAGGGACACGAGAGAAAACGGGGAGGGAAAAGTTTTCTCTCAGTGACCTTCAGTCCCACGTTTTGGATGCTCCTTTTACACACTGAAAAAGATACAGAGTTGCTAAGCAACCACCAAACAAAGACAGAATTCTGTTGTCTTCTCAGTTTGACCCTGTCTGAGACTGTTGGTGTGTGCGCGCGTGTATGTGAGACTGAGTGTGTAAGCAGTTTTCATCTTGCCTGTCTGTCTGGCTACCTACTGGTA